GGAAAGCAGGGGCCTGTCGCCCCAGCCTGCGCCTCCATCTCCGGACGGTGAGAACAAACCGCAGAGCTAAGCAAGAAGAGTTAAAAAGCACAAAAAATGGCAGAAGCCACCTCCCGCTGCCCCTCTGCTCCCCTTCTCGAATAGACGGAAACCTCCTAATGCCTCCGACGGGACGATGAGGGGGCAGCTCCAGGCTGTGCCGAAGGGTAGTGCCGCTGCTCGCCCCCCTCCGCACCCCGGCCCACCGGGTCCCACTGCCCGGGGCACGGCCTCGGCATTGCCCCATCCTCCGGGGGATGCAGGAAAGAGGGTCCCCCGGTTCCAGCTCTGCTCGCTTCTCCCCTCCGCCCCTCCGGCTGCTGGCCTAGGGCGGAGATCCAGAGGGGCAGAAAGAAAGCGAAAGGAGAAAGAAAACCGACAGACATCCTCGTCGAGGGTGACGGGAGGTTCTCCACCCACTACGGCGCCTGGTTTCCTCAGGGGCAGTGAGGAACGGATCCCCCTCGCCCGCCCTCGGCTCGGCGGGGCCCCACGCAAGAGCCGCGTGGGCGTCAGGCCCGGGTGCGGGGCTCCTCGACGGCTCGAGGACGAGGCCACGGGCACGGCCCGATCCCGGCCCGTCGGTGTCCCCGGGCCGGCGGCGAAGAGTGAGCCGAGCCGGGACAGGGCACAGCCGAGTTTAACCGGGGCAGGAGGAAAAGCGGAGCGGGGAGTTCTGCTGTGCCGCCGGCCCCCCGCCACCCTGCGCTTCCCACTCACGCGGCAGATGTGATCCCGAGCCCTGGAAGAGAGAGCGGAGGGCAGGGGCTGGGGTCGGGAGCGCTCCCAGGAGCGGCGGCGCAGCGCCCAGCGCCGAGCGCCGGTCGCTCCGGTCCGATCCTTCGGAGAGATCCTCGCTGGAAACAGCGTGCGAGTAGATCCTCTCGGACCGAGGCAAGGAGCTGTCAGACAAATACCTTTCGAACACATCCCGGAGCTCTAAATGTCCAGACGGTTTCAGGCAATTTTTCAGCGGGAGCTGGTGATATATTATTACCATTATAAAGAGATGGGGTTTATTTCTGGTTAAAAGGGAGATGCGGGAGGCGAGGCAAGACCGCAACAGCCAAAGAGAGTTAAATTTTTTTTAAGAGGTTGGAAAAATTAAAAATAATTTTTAAAAAATCGAAGGTCTCAGATAGGGTTTTTAACAAGGGAAGAGAGGTTTAAAAATCACTGCACCTATCCATCGGAAACAAAACCTAAATATGCCACCAAAATAGCACTATGTACACAGCATATGGTGTATGTATATATACATTTTTTATATATATTTATATATATATATATTTTATATAGAGAGAGAGATATAGATATATAGATAGATATATATATACAAACATCCATACACTAAAATAAAGAACTACGGCCAGCCTGGATCCTGAACACAGTCTACACTTTATTTCAGACTACAGATTTCTGAACATAATAAAATCTTTGGCTTGTAGCGGCGGGTTCAGTCTCGCAGTCTGTGGATCAGAATTATTTTTTTCCTCGGGAAAAAAAAAGAGAGACAGAAATTCACACACACACACAAAAATAAAATAAGATCAAACGAAAGATGAGAAAAGTCCGACATTTACTGTAAAACAAGAGCAACGGACATGGGGGGGGGCAAAAAAAAGAAAACAAGGAAAGCAAAGAAAACGAACAAACGAACAAAAGAAAGGAGAAAGAGAGAGAAGGGAAGAGAGAAACTGTCCAGCAAATAGAGATCGCTACACGTATTTCTTACCTGAAATTAAATATATACAAGGTCATATGCTGTTTGGCTATATAGAGATAATTTTTTTAAGTGTTCATATTTTATTTTTTTTCTTAATCGGAGTCCTTATACTATGGATAGACAATAGATCTGCTTTTAAATCGCACCTGTCCGCCTCCCGGCCGGCGGGCCGGCGCCGCGGCGCAGGGCTGGGCTGGGGCCGCCCGCCTCACTCGCTCTCCTCTTTGTCCTGCACCGTGGTGGTGGAGTGGTTGTAGAGTCCCTGGGCCATGAGATGCAGCGCCAGCCCGTTCTTGATGCCCGTCGCCTTCTTGATCTTGGCCCGTTTGTTCTGGAACCAGATCTTGATCTGGGACTCGTTGAGGCTGAGCTCCTGGGCCAGGCTTTGCCGCCGCTGCTCCGTGATGTACCGGTTCGCCTGGAACTCCGCCTTCAGCCGCTGCAGCTGCTCGGCCGTGAACGCCGTCCGCGGCCGCTTGTCCTCTTTCTCTGTCTTCTTCTTCTTCAGCTTCCTGGTGCGGGGGCCTGCGGGCAGGGCACACACACGCCGCTGGGCAGGGCCGTGCCGCCGACCGACCGAC